AGAGGAAAGGGGAATCAATCATTAAATACAAAAGAAATTAGGGATTGCATTAGATGAAAGGAGTAGACTTATAAATTGCCCAAAAAAGCAGCAAGCCTGAGGATTTGGAGCATCTTAGAATGCAGCAAAGGAGGACAAAAAGACAAGGGTGGGGGGGAGGATAATATAGTGTGAGAGCAAATTTGCCAATTACCTAGAAATGGAACGTAAAAGCTTCTATAAATTTGTGAAGTGAAAAAGGTTAATAAATGTAGGTTCCTTACAGTCAGAAGTTGAGGAAACGATAATGAGGAGTGAATAAATTGGAACATATTCTTTGGTTCTACCTTCACAAAAGAAAGCACAAATAAACCCCCAAAAATGTTAGGAAACTGAGGGTTTGGTGAGATGGTAATTGCAGAAAAACTGCATTAGTAAGAAAATGGTGTTGGGGAAAAATGAATGGGATTAAAGGCTGTCAAATGACCACAGTTTGATAATCTGCATTGCACAGTACTAAAAGCAGTGGCCCTGGAAAAATTGGATGCTTTGGTGGTCATCTTCCAAAATTCTTTAGACTCTGGAGCATTTCCTATGGATTGGAGGGTGGCAAATGTAACCCCATTATTTAAAAAGGAAGGGAGAAAAAAATGTCAGCAAATTAGCCTAACATCAGTAGTGGGGAAATGTCAGAGTCTATTATAAAAGAAGTACTAACTATACATTTGTGAAACATTTACAGGATTGGATAAAGCTAGCATGGATTTATAAAAGAGAAATCATGCTTAACAAATCTACCAGTGTTTTTGGGGATATAACTAGTAGAATAGATAAGGGAGATAGCGAATATGATGTACTTGGATTTCAGAAGACTTCTGATGAGGTCTCTCATAAAAGATCAGTGGACAAAGTTAAAGCATATAGAATAAGAGGTAATATATTGGCATCAACCAAAAATTATTGACAGATAGGAAACAGCGAGTGGGAACAAATGGATCTTCTTCCAGGTAGCAGGCAGTGATGAATGGGGTAGCACAAGGATCAATACTTGGGCCCCAGCTAGTCATGATATATTTAAATGATCAAAATGAGGGAATCAAATGCAATACTATTTCCAAGCTCACTCATGACACAGAACTTAATGGGATTGTGACTTGTGAGGAAGATGCAAGGAGGTTTCAAGATAAGTTAATTGAATGAGTGGGCGAACCCATTGCAGATGCAGCACAGCATGTTTAAATGTGAAGACATATACTTCAGTGTGAAATACAGAAAGTATTACTTAAATGGTGGTATTTTGGCAAAAGTGGATGTACAAAGGGATTCAATGAAAGCAGACAGGTAGCTGCAGCAAGCAATTAAGAAGGCAAATGGTACATTGGCCTTCATTGCAAGAGGATAAGAGCTGAGAAGTAGCGTTGTCTTACTGCAGCTATACAGGGCCTTGGTGAGACTACACCTGGAGTATTGTGTGCAGTTTAGTCTCCCTACCCAAGAAGGGATACACTTGCCAGACAGGGATTGCAATGGAGGTTCACTAGCCTGACAGCAGGAATGGCAGGCCTGTCCTACAAGGGATAACTGGATGACTGGGCCTGTATTCTTTTAAGTTTAGGAGAATGAGAGGGGATCTGTTTCAAACATTTAAAATTCAAACATGCTGGACAGACTAGATGCAGGAAGATGTTTTTCCTGACTGAGGAATCTAGAACCAGGTGAAACAGTGTTAGGATATGGGGTAGACAATTTAGGACTGAGATGAGGAAACGCTTCTTCATTCAAACGGTGAACCTGACAAATTCTCTACTACATAAGGCTGTGGAGGCCAAGTCACTGTATATCCAAAAAAGAAATGTATTTTTAGATTTTACAGGCAGCAAGGGGTATGGGGAGAAAGCAAGAATATAGCATTGAGATAGAGGATTAGCTCTGATCATATTAAATGGTAGAGCAGACTTGAAGGGCTGAAGGGCTGAATGGCTTATTCATGCTCCCAGTTTTTATGTTTCCCCAAGAAACAGGATGACGTTAATTCTCAACATGAGAGTCATAACAGTTACCTGGCAGTAGATGCTCACTGTTTGCTTCTCCAAGCCTCTATTCAACTCTGCCTTCACTACAACATCACTGCATGCTCCATGGGCATTGTACCATTCATCCAAGGAAGTTGGCATCGGCAAATGACCAGTCTCATCATATCGTGGCTCCTCTTGATCCAACCATTTTGCTCTTTTAGGACTTCACTTTGGAGTCCAGGAATACTTATCACTATCATGGTTCAATCAGTTTGCTTTGCACAAAAGGACAACCTGCTTCTCATATAGCAGATGCATCTTATGCCTCATGACTTCACTTTTGAGTGCTCACTCATTTTGCATGTAGGTTGGTGCTGGCAATAATTTTCAATTCCTCCACACCTACAGAAGAGGTACCAGAGGACTGGAGGACAGTCAGTGTGCTACTGTTTTTCAAGAAGGCAGCTAGAGATAAACCAGGAAAGTACAGTTCAGTCAGTCTAACGTCAGTAATAGGGAAACGATTGGAGGCAATTCTGAAGACCAGAATTAATAGAACTTGGACAGGCAAGGATTAATCAAGAATAGCCGGCATGGATTTGTTCAGGAGAGGCCATGTCTGAACAACTTCACTGAATTTTTCAAAGTGGTGACCAGCTGTACAGTTGAGAGCAATGCATTCAACATAGTCTACTTGGGCTTCAGGAAGGCTTTTGATAAGGTCCTGCATGGAATACTGATAGCAAAGGTAAGGTCTCATGGGATCCAGGGAAATTTGGGCAAATTGGATACAGAATTAGCTGAGTGGCAGGAAGCCGGTGAGGGTCAAGGGCATTTTTGTGATTGATAGCCTGTGTCCATTGCTGTTCTACACTGATTAGTATTGGACCCCTTGCTGTTGGTGGTGTATATAAATGATTTAGATTTGAATGTAGAGGGTTGATCAATAAGGTTCAGATAATATGAAAATTGGTGGGGTGATAAAGATGAGGAGATAGCTTAGATTATAGGAGATATAGACAGACTGTTCAGATGGGCTGATCAGTGGCAAATGGAAAGCAATGCAGATTAAGTCTGAGGTGATGCACTTGTGCAGGACAACGTAAAGGAATACATGATGAATGATAGGATGAATCAGAGGGACCTTGGTGTGCAAGGTCTGCCTTTTTTTTAGCTGAGGCATAGAGCTTTAGAGCAGGGTGGTGATGCTGGAACTGTATAAAATGTTGGTTAGGCCACAGCTAGAGTACGGTGTGCAGTTCTGGAATAGACATCATTATAGAAGGTGTTGGGGCAGAATGACGAAATGAATCACTCAACACCTTGAGCCCACTTCCAGTACCAAAGAGTTTATTGATGTGATGCCGGTGAGAAGAAAACCTCTGGGGTCCAGATGCTTCTTCCCTGACCAAAGGAAAGATGTTTGTTTTCAGCCCACCTTATCATTTACGAACCAATTGCAAATCAATTGTGTTATTGATTGATAATATACACATCCAATCAGGTCAGTCATGTGACTGCATGATCTGTTGATGAACAGTTACAAGTCTTGCTATACTCTCATGACGTTTATCAAATACCCTTATCACCTATCCTTGGGCTTTCACAACATACCTTATTCAACCACATTCTAATACTGCTGCCTTCTGCATTTGCTATTCAATCCACCCTGTTAACAGGCTGGGGGCTTCTCCCTGCTGTCTAAGGCTGTCTATCTGAAGGAATTCAGTTAAATTCCTAAATATTTCAAAACACATTTTAGTTGCAGTGCAGTTGACTGATGTTGCCAGCAATGGAGGGTTTAAGTTATAAGACAAGGTTGGATAGGCTGGGACACTGGAGCATAGTAGGTTGAGGGGTGACCTGATAGAAGTTTATAAAATCATGATGGGCATAGATAAGGTGAATGGCTGGTGTCTTCCCTAGGGTGGGGGATTTCAAGACTAGGGGGCATATTTTTAAGGTGAGAGGAGAAAGATTTAAATATAACATGATGAGCAATATTTTACACAGAAAGTGGTTCATGTGTGGAATGAACTTCCACAAGAAGTGGTGAATGTAGGTACAGTTACATTTAAAAGATGTTTGGATAAATACATGAATAAAAAATGCTTGGAGGGATTTGGGCCAAGCACAGGCAGGTGGGACTAGTTTAGTTTGGGATTATGGTTAGCGTGAACTGGTTGGACCAAAGGGTTTCTTTCCAAATCTGAACACTGACTTGCAATTAAGCAGCTTTGCCATAATTAGGTACAAATTGCTCAGTTTTTTGGGCTGCTACATACAGCTTTGACACATCACCTACATTGGTATTAAATGACAATACATGCATGATAGGTTTTTGCTTTTTAAGTCATAGAAATTATGAAGTTAGAAGAAGAAAAAAATGAAATATCTTTAAAATGTTTACTAATACGAAACTTTATTGAGAATGTATGCTTTTTTCTGACATTACATTTTGAAGATACTAGTTAAACAGTAACAATGTTCATAACCATGATAGCTTTTCACTCTGGTAAGCAGAAAATAAGTATTCTGGGCATTACTTTGCTGTTTTTGAAATAGGAATAATTCTTTGCATAAAATAGTTATATATTGTAAATAAATTAATGCTACACAATTTTTCATTGCACCATCCTAGATACTCTTCAAATATATTTATTTAATGATGACTAATCACAACACAACAAAGTGCCAGTTCCATCAATCACAAATAGTCCTTATCTAGAAGACTATACATCTATGAATAAGATTGTATGTTAAACATGTGTAGAAAATAACACATCAATTTACTTAAAGCAATTCAGTACATTTAATACAATACATAATATTTGCACTTTAGAATATTGAATTAGTTGTCACCGATTGCTACTGTGTTTGGAAAAGAATTTTCAGGAAGAAAAACATTAAATTTCTACCACAATACACCACAAATCATAAATTTTGCATGATGTTATCAAGATTGATACAGGCAAAAATACAAAGTTTTCCATATTGGTAGCTACAAAGTGGTATAATTAATTTTCAAGACATGTTTATTTTTTAAATTTGGTCTTCATGAATTGAAATCTGTCCCGAAAAAAACTGATTATCAATTGATAAGTTGTAAGGAAAGTTTCTAAGCAATTTCTTCAGTCCAATTTCAGCTCTCCAGCTTAGTTTCATTCACTTCTACGTGATTACAATCTCCAATCACTGAGACAATTCTAAAAAAAAAAGTCATTAATGAGAGGGAAAGTAGTTTTCATAAGATTACAACTAAAAGTATCACATTTCAGTTCTTACAATTTATTATTAGTAACATTTCCTGTGTTCAACCTACATAGTTATTATGTATTCAACAAGGAAAACAGTTAAATTTTTTAAAGTCGAGTTTCAGTAACAGTTTAAATTAAGTTTTTGTAATCTTTATGTAACATTGTAATATTTTAAGATAATCCTATGCTAAATTGTTGCAATTTATCATTTATCCAAATTTTTTAGTAAACTTCATGGTACAATGTTGAATGGAGGCGGGGTCATTAACAAAGAAATTTCTCTTTCATATTATTAACTGTGCATTATTACAATCTATTATATAGTGTGTCAAAAAGTGCCTTATTTCTATAACTAGAATTCCTATAATTCATTTATCAGTAATAGTTCCAGTGAAACCTATATTAAAGCACAGTTGCCTTCCTAGGCAAGCTAGTTCAATTGGGTTACAACACCAAATTTAACTGATATTTATGGAAAATAGCCCAGGTTTGTGCTATCTACAATATGTAGGGAAATCTAATCTAACTAACTACCACACCAACAGTCTCCAACCAATCAGCAAACCGATGAAAGGAGTCAATAACAACACAACTATGCAACACCAGATCATCAATAATCTACTTGCTAACCCTTTGCTCAAATTTTGCCAGAATAACATTGCTTCAAATCTCATCACAGAATTATTCAAGGCAGGAACATTGGAACCAAAAGCAATAAAAACACAAAACAGTTCACAGCATCACACTACCATGTGACCAAGCATAGCTTTAGCAAAATTGAGGTCAATAGGTCAAAGTGAATCCCTGCAACAATTGGATAACAGGTTGATGCCTGGTGGCCCATCCAGTTTTATTCCTTTTTGACTTTGTGCAGTTTGTTATAACTGAATGGTTCGTAAGGCTATTCCAGGGAGATATTTAAGTGACAACCCCATTCTTATGGGCTTGGAGTCAGATGTGGGCCAGACCAGGTCAGAATGGTACATCTCCTTCTCTAGAGGAAAATGAACCAATTTTATTTTTAAGAATATTTGATAATGGTTTTATAGTCATCATCACTGAGATCAGTTTTTAATTCCAGATTTTTACTCATCACTTGCTACCCTTGCTGCCAAGGTGGGATTTGAACAATGTCCCCAAATATAAGCCCGGTACTGTGGATTACTGGTCATAATGCAATGATGAGAACAGAAAATCCTTCATAGTCCAACATGTCTGTAAAACCGGATTTTTAATAGTAATGTCCTGTTAGTGAATATACAGACATGTATACATATGAATTAGGAACCAGATTAGGTCCCACAGCCCCTTGAGCCTGCTCCACCATTCAATTAAATTATGGCTGATCTAATTACTCCACATTCCCACCTACTCCAAAAACCTTTCATGCCCTCAGTCACACCCTCTGCCTTAAAAATAATCAAATAACAATGTTCTTTCTTCAACTCTTGTGTTCTCTGATGAAAGTAATTTTAATGATGGGATTAATACTTTTGACTGCTGCTTCAGATTTGCTGCTATGTACACTCAGACATATGGGTTGGGGTTTCATCTCTGAGATGGGTAGCGGCAGTCAAGAAATTTTGTTACTCTAGGGTTCACTGTTTCTGTGCAGAGTGTATAGAGAGTCAATAGGCATGGAAGGTGACGCTTTGGAGGCAGGGGTGAGGCTGTGCGAGTTAAGATCTTTAAAACTTACCTTTCAAAACGTTCCAGACTATATGTCTGAGGAAATCGTGAATCATGAGTGCTTTAAAAGCTGATCCAAGTCCTTGAAAATTGTGATGGATAGGACATCCATCCCCAATTACGATGCTAGCCAGTTTGGGAAGATAGCTACCCTGCACCATCCCATGTCCTTAACTCACTAAAAATTGAGGGACACAAAAAAACTGCAGATGCTGGATTCCAAAGTAGACTAACAGGAGGCTTGAAGAAGACAGCAAGCCAGGCAGCATCTGGAGGAAAGGAGCAGTCAACATTTTGAGTATTACCCTTCATCAGGACTGGATGTGGGGGTAGAGAGAGCTGCAGATAAAGGAGGGGAGGGGGGTAGAAGAATGGTGGTGATAGGTGGATACCGGTAGCAGGTGCGACCTGTTAGTCGATGGGAGGGATGAGTGGGTCAGTAGGTGGAATGGAAGGGAGGAGGTGGGCCTGGAAAGGGAGCAGGGGGATGGGTGAGAAGGTTATTTGAAATTGGAGAACTCAATGTTGAGTCCTCCGGGCTGCAGGGGGCCCAGGCGGAAGATAAGGTGTTGTTCCTCAAATTTGTGTTCTGAATCACTGCAACACTGGAGGAGGCCGAGGACAGACATGTCGGAGGGGGAGTGAGGGGAGGAGTTGAAATGGGCGGTGACCGGGAGGGTAGGCTGACCGTTATGGGCCAGGTGAAGATGTTCGGTGAAACGATCACCTAGACAACGTTTGGTCTCACCAACGTAGGGAAGGCCACATCGGGAGCACCAGATGCAATAGACTGGGTTGGAGGAGATGCAGGTCTCACTTGGAAGGGCAGTTTAGGGCCCTGGATGGAGGTGAGGGAGGTGGTGTCTGGACAGGTGTTGCGTCTTTTATGGTTACAGGGAAGGTACTGGGCAGGTTGGAGTGGTTGGTGGGGAGTGTGGCCTGAACCAAGGAGTGGTAAAGGGAATGGTTCTTGTGGAAGGCAGAGAGGGGAGGGGAGTAGAAGATGTTCCAATGGTGGGGTCTGATTGGAGGGAGTCAGAAATCAAGGAATTGGATCCCAGCTATCATTTTTGCACCACCACAGTGTCTCCCAAATCCATGAAAATCTAATTCATAATGTCAGTTTCCCAACAAAATGGGTCAAAAATGCACCATTGGAGAAGCAGGGGCATAACTGTTGAACATTTAACTTTCATTAGAGATTTTGATATTACAGCACTCTTTACACATATTTCAACAGACTCTTTGGACATGTTACAACATGTAAAATTAATCCAGCAGATTGTACAGCCACAACAAATCAGGAGAAAGACCACAGGAGCTCAAGATTAATAAATCACATTTTCCACAAGAGGGCATAGTCTCAAATTAAGAGGGAAGATAAAGGGTGATCATCGAAATATAGCATCCCAACAGTGCAATGAGTCTACACCAACCCACCAAACAGCATCCCACCCAAACCCTGTAATCCCACATTTACCATGACTAATCCACCTAACCTGCATATCCCTGGACACTACGGGCCAATTTTAGCATGGCCAATCCATCTAACCTGCACACCTTTGGACTGTGGGAGGAAACCGGAGCACCCGGAGGAAACCCACGCAGACACGGGGGGGACAATGCAAACTCCACACAGACAGTCACCAAGGCTGGGGTCGAACCTAGGTTCCTGGCATTGTAGGGCAGTAGTGCTATGTATGGAGTGAGCTGCCACAGGAGGTAAAGGCCAACTGGCCAAACAAATTCAAGACAGAGTTGGATCAGAAGCTGGAGAAAAAAAATTCCAGAGGGTTAGACTCTTGAAGCAACCCAACTGACGGCAACAGTCTTTTCTTTCCAAACAGCCATTTAGCACAACAACTCATTACATTCAAGAGTCATGGAAGGACAAGTAGAAGCTGGAGGTCCTTCAAGTGACTTTAACCACTTGCAAAGTCATTAAGCTTTTTCTGGCATAGCTGCCTTCTGTGATTTAGCATAGCCTCGCTTTTTGAAGGACAGACTGCATTTCAGAGCAGCAGGCATTATCCATCACGTGCTCTCTGTGAATGCAACTTGATTTTGATCAACAGTCTGGCTATTCTTGGACTAATAATATAGTCAGGTAACAAAAACATAAATTGCTGATGAAACTTAGCAGACCTGGCAGCATCTATTGGAAGAAAGCAGAGTTAACATTTTGAGCCTGGCTCACCAGACTCAAAATGTTAACTCTGCTTTCTTTCCACAGGTGCTGCCAGACCTGCTGAATTTGGCTAGCAATTTCTGTTTTTATTTCAGATCTCCAGCATCCACGGTTCTTTGTTTAATTTCAAGTAAATGGGTTCTTTGTTTAATTTCAAGTAAATGAAGATGCTGTTGTATTTGGATCCAAAAGGGTTAGCGGTTAATTGAATTCAATAAACACCATCTACTGTAATGATGTCATGAAAACTTGTTGGCTGGGGGTAAGAGAGAAAAAAATAAGATTTTATGGGAGAATTACCTAAGAATAGGTACTTGCAAGTGCTTTTTTTTTATTAATCAGTCTGTTCACAGATGTTATTACAAATCTCTGGAGCAAATGGGACTTGAACCCAAGCCTCTGCAGCCCAGAGGATTGGAACACTACCACTGTGCCATAAGGGCTCTCAAATTGAAAGTCTGATGTGCAACCAACTGAATTACCTGGGCACTGCAAATGTCTTTATCCTTTTTTTTTACACAGACATGTTATCATAAACCAACTAAATAACTTTTCCACAACCAAATAACCATGATTTTCTTTGGTTTTTAACTACTAATCACCACCGGTAATCATCTGTGCTGCCACATGGATTTTACCTGAAAAGCCCATAATAGGTAATTCAAGCTATCCAAAGTGAGGGGCAGTAGGGACAGCAGGAAGGGGCTAAATTAAAATGGAGTTGGAGGGGAAAATAAAGCACTGTATCCCCCATGGCCCCCACCTCTCTAAAGGCATTGAGAGCATTGGTTGACACTGTGTGCTCCCACCCCAAGGACACCCGTGCACAAACAAAACCGTGGAACAGGGGCAGACAGTCAACAGACATGACCCCACCTCCACAGCTTGCTGTCTGGACCTATTTGTAGCCAGCCTGGCCAGGCAAGGAGCAGAACTACAACGAGGTCTCTGATCTGCCCACAACCCTCTGCAGTGGGTGCCCAAGGATCAGGACTGTGGGGTTGAAGTGTGGCCAAAAAACACAAAAAAATGATTTTTCAAATGACTAAAAAGGGGGTGCAAACACCCATGA